AATGTGTACTAGTCCCACTAAGTTGTATAGTGGATACTCAACATTGTAATTCTTTCCTAGGTGCCAATAAACGATGGAAAAGGATACTTGGCAGCTGAGTCACATAAGAATTTCATGATAGAAAACAATCAATGGGACAACTGAGCAAGGGTTATAATATACCTAGAGTCATCATTCATTGTACATTTTTGACTTTGAGCAATCATAGCAGCCATCTTTGTTGCACTGGAAGAAGAGGAATCATATTTTCTGCCCACGATGCCACAGGATTGTTCTCTTCCTTTTAGAGCCATAGTGTACCGAGATTCAGTAGTAAAGCAGATAGTAACTTTTCCTTTTCCATTCTTCCTCTCTTAGACAGCAAGGTTGAGAATAAAAACAGAGAAATCTTCATGATGAAGCTGCCAAGCATGTGATTAAAATCTAAGACTTTAGAATGGTATATAGAGTACAGCTAAAATTAGAATCTTTTGGGGAAAACTTAGACCAATACTTCATCAAGACCAAGGCTAAATTCATGCCCCAATTAGCTTGGTCAACAATTATAAATGTGGAAAAAGAAAATTATAAAAAAAGAATTAAGCCAATTTTATATTTGGTCCATTAAGCAGTTTATGCTATTATACACCATATGGCTGCTAGATGTAGTTATGGAAATAATTTTTTAAGTAGGAAAGTTCTTATAGGTGGGAAGAAACATTGGCATAACTGAATCATCAGACAGGGTTTCCTAAACCTAAAAGAATGAAGAAATTAAAAGTCACAAGGAAAAAAACAAAAGAATAAAGAGTTTATTCTTTAATAAGTGGTATATACAATCCATAGTAAACATTCCTAAGACTATTGGGCATTTACATGAACTAAGTTAAAAGGAAACAAGTTTTATGATGAAATTAGACAGAGGTTTAAGCTGAAACAAGTATTTCTGAAAAAGTCCAAAAACAACAAGTCCCAGAAGCCAATTGGTGAGTTTACAAACTGCAAAAATCAGCAACAGCCAAATTAGTGTTTCTACAAGAGCTATGCATTGTGTTCTATTCTGTGCAGTTAGTGGACCATACAATCTGAAAATTTAACTAGAAAACCATAACCATATACTGAAGTGGTATTCAAATGAATAAATTAGATTTCAAGCAGTCAGCACATAGTTTACTTTAGAGACATTAGGCTGCGCACAGTTCTTTGGGCTGCAAGCCCAACAGTATGCATATCTCAGCAACAACAGCAAAGCAGATGTATGCTAATTCTTTAACCATATTTCTTAATTTGTAGGAAAAAACAGATCTTTACATTTATGCATTTCTCATGAAACAAGACAAAAATAAAGATGTGCTCTGGATGATGTCAATGCTCCGGATGGTGTCAACTAATAGGGAAATTATTAGACAGGCATTTCACCACATATATATGTTGAAAAGATCTTAACTAGTAAAAAAAAATCATAAATGATCTGCCCTTTATATCTACAGAAATAAGAATTAGCTTCAGCTAAAGTTTCTCCCCGAAAGCAATATAAGTATAGCATTTACAAGAACTACGGACATGAAATAAATGTCACAGACATCAAACTCAGTAGCTAATATTTCAACTGCAAAGCTTAACAAGACTGAGCAACGAATCTAAATTCAGATTTTTTTCCTGTATAGTTGTTGAAATTGAATGGCAGACAGAAAAGAACACAAAATGAATAAAGCAGATCTGTTACTCTCTTTAAACAGTATCCTCTTGTTGGATGTTTTTAAAGTGAGGATGAAGCTTAGGCCTCAGCCTATAGGCAGCTATATAACTTCTGCGGGTTGCTGAGTTAACCTCTTAATTCTCTTATAAAGCTAAGTGGATTTTCATGGTTGAACAATAAAGTCCAAACCACCTCAGAGATTTAAGAATAATTGCAACAGGTGGATGATCCCAACCAACCAAAGCTTTGTTTGGGTATTATCTCTAACGGTAAAGGTTAAACAAAATGACAACTACCAGTAGTCCTTGCAAGAACAGATTCCTTCTCTGAAATGGTGGAAACGAGATCGATCTCTTACAATAATCTCTCTCCCATAAGCTTTGGAGATGGCCTTCAGAGCAGAATGACAATCCTCACAAGTTCTTAAATTCTTTACTATACGAATACTAGTTCCAGGCACAGTTGTCATCAATCCAAAAGCAATAGCTAGCTTCTCACTGTGCCAAGCCACTGCTTGCACTTTCTCTTCCTCGCTTAAATCAAATGAAACCTGAGTGGTATTAGCAACATACCCGACAAGGCTAGCTCTTTCTAGAATCTCATGCAACTTCTCCCGAATCTCTGCAATTTGTATGTGCAACTTATCAGCAACTCGAAACTCATGTACAACACCATTCACCTCAATCCAACTATGCCCAATGTCCAATTGATTCTCTCTATGTCCAATTAACTTCCTTATTTGAGTAACTCTTTCCCATCTACCTAGAGAAGCATACAAGTTAGAAAGTAGCACCTCACCTCTGCTTTGACCATAAGTGTCGTGTTCCTTGATATGATTTATTATGAGTTCTCCAAGATCTACATCACGATGAACTCTACAAGCACTAAGCAATGCCCTCCATATGACAATATCAGGGTTCACATGCATACTTTTGGCAACACGAAAAGCATTCTCCAAGTAGCCAGCACGCCCAAGCAAATCAATGTAACAGCCATAATGCTCAATTTTGGGTTCAATCCCGAAATTGCTTTCCATGTTAGCAAAAACTGAAGAGCCCTCGTCAACTAAACCAGAATGGCTACATCCATTCAGGACCCCCAAAATAGTGACTTAATTTGGTTTAACATTTTTAGTTAACATTTTATTAAATACACGTAAAGCATCCCTACCAAGTCCATGAATGGATAACCCTGTTATCAAACTCGTAAAGTTGTGCACATCAGGTACAGAAATCTCATCAAATACTCTTATTGAAAGGTCAATCCTGCCACACTTTGCATACATGTCAATCAGAGCAGTACTAATATTTGAACCAACAAAAATATTTTTCTTATCTATATAAGCATGAATCCATTTGCCTTGATCCAAAGCCCCAAGATGAGCACAAGCAGAGAGAGCACAGACTAGAACAGCCTCATTAGGCTTGACCTTGCATTCATCATCACACAGCATTTCACGGAAGTACTTGAGGGCTTCAAGATATCTTCTACATCCAACAAAACCTGAAATTAAAACAGCCCAAGACACATCATTACGCACCGGCATTTCAAGAAAGGCCTGAGATGCTTTGGTCATCTCCCCATTCTTTGCATATCCGCAAACCAAACTAGTCCATGAGAACACATCTCTCTGTGACATTTCATCAAAAACTTTACAGGCGTCACTCATTTTCCCAAAAACAGCATACAAGTTGACCACAGAATTTCCCACGTACAAATCCGATATATACCCATTTTTCATAATCATCCCATGAACAATTTCACCATACACAATCGACATCTGGTGAGAACAAGAAGTGATCACAAAATTGAATGTATACTTATCAGGAAAAACCTGAAAAGGAGAGTGCTCAAAAGTGATCATTTGGTTAAAAAGATTGAACGGTTCTGTCGAATTTTGAAGTTTTGAGTATGCCCTGATCATCAGATTCCATAACAGAGTTGGTGGTGAAGGCAAAGGGTAATGGTTGAATAAGGCTCTAGCACCATCCAGATTGTTAATGTTGAGATAACAGTGAATCAGAGAGTCAACCAAAGCAGCCTTTCCTGAGAGTGAATTGGTAATTATTTTAGCATGAATTTGACTGAGTTGAGAGAGTGGTGGGCGTCTCTTTAGGAGACAAGAGAGTGATTTAGCGGTCACATAGTATTGCATTGGTTGGTTTGAATATATGGCGGGAAGTCGGTTGATGAAAAAGAACGGTTAAGTATTAGTAGTATTGGTTTTAGGAGTTTGGGATAATGCTATTCTTTGCCCATAAAAGGGATCAATCCTAGTACTGCAAGCAAGTCGAACCGAGTCGAGTTTTGAGTTAATCGAGTCGAGTCGAGACTAAATTTTACCGAGTTTGAGCTCGACGAGTCGGCAATTTTCGAGCTCGAGCTCGACTCGAATCAAGTCGAGCCGAGCTCGAGCTCGAAAAAAAATAAAAAATAAATATTTTATTTTAAAAAAAATAAATAAAATAATATTTTTTTTGAATAAATAATAAAATATTAAGGATATATACGTAATTTTACTATAAAAATAAAAAATAAAAAATATATATATATAATATACGTAATTTTATTATTAAATAAAAATAAAAATAAAAAATATATATATATATACTCAAACTTGCGAGCCGGCTCGCGAGCTAACGAGGTTAATATTCTTAACTCGAGCTCGATTAATATCGAGCGGCTCGATTCGTTTGCAGCCCTAATCCTTACTATACAAATATGTACGCAACATTATGATTTGAATTTAAACACTAAACTTTGTATATTATGATTTGAATTTAAACACTAAACTTTGTATATATAGCTTGCATCTAAACCCCATAAATATATATACTAAAGTGTATAAAAGATTTATCCAAAAAAAAGTAAAGTTAGAAATCGAAACAAATTAAAAAATAGTCCACTTCTTTGATTTTAGAGATTCCTTTGCTTGTACCTATCAATGACAAATGTGATAATTTTCAGTGGCTTTGTGTAGATGGACTCATTTTGTTATTTGGTGCTTATGCTCTTGGGTGATAGCTATGCTTCATGATCCATCAACCATTGATAAATATTGAAGCAAGGAACATTTATCATTGAAAAGTGTAACACTAAAAACGTGACAGGATGTATACACAATCCTATAAGGTACATTTACAAATTATGTAGGAATTGTAAAGTTCTCATTTAACACAACAGGCTCAATGTGACAGTCCCATCTTCCCCAAAGGCGAACCAAAGGGTTTGGCGGACCGCCTGTCCACCTCTCGTCAGGACTCGTTCATTCTTTTTAAACAAAATAAGATATAACCTCACGGAAGTGAAATAACAATTCCCAAACTCGAAACGTATACTTACATTTATTTCTATCTCAACCAGTAATACAGTCCCAAATATAACAAAAGTGCTTTGTGCCCAATACATTCAACCCTATTCAAGCGCTAGCGCGAGTACAATCGCAAAAATTTTCACAAACTAGACTATGCTAGTTTATACAAGTCTCACATCCTCGTTCGCACCTCCTGTAAGGAAAACAAAACTAACGGAATGAGGTAAAAACCCAGTGAGGTTCCAAACACATAATCAAACAATTAAGTCCAAGACATTTAAGCATTGAATAACAAATAATCCAGAAAACATTTATAATATAAAAGTAATGATAACACATTCATTAAAAGGATACATTCTCACGTGGAGCTATTCGTTCATTCATTCACCGATCATTATCCTTATTCCTCCAACATTAGAAAACATTTTTCATTTGAAAACTTCTCCAATGTTCTGCATTCATTCATTAATTTCATTCCCCGCTACTAGCCATTTCATTGGCCAGTCTCTACCAGACTTCATGGTCATACTCGAGTATACCAAACATTAACCCAGAGTCACCAATCGCCTGACCGAGTCCGCTTCTAGCTCGAGTCGACCGGCAACAAAGGGCAAAGGCCCAATTCAGCCAAAAGGCTTACATTCATGCACAAGTAGTATTTAAACATTTAATCATTATAAATTTCACATTCCTTTAGGTCGAGTGCGATAAAGTGCACACTTGCCTAACAAAATTCATTTTTAAAAATTAATGAAAACATTTAACATTTAATCAAACATTCACAAATAGTCACATAGTTACAACAATCCACATAGTCATTGGAAACATAACGTACAAAGAACACTCACCTATTTAAGCAAAAATAACGTCCAAAGTTTCCTTCCGGATAACACCCTTAATCACCAAGGAACCCTAAGAGTAACCAAGAGAACACATTACGATTCTACCATCAAAATTTTAGGTGAAACAAAGAAAATTCGAATACCTACTAGTACAATGTATAAATATGATTTTTGGAGTGAAAAGAGTACATTTAGACCAAAGAATATGAGTAACTAAGAGTTTCCCAAACCAAACATAAAACTAAACTCAAAAGGTTTTAGAAAATTCCATCGAAAACAAATGAATCGGATGCCACGTCCTGGCCGGATTCAAGGCAGTGAGCATTCCAATTTTTTTTCATCTTCCCCTATCAATCCGGCCAAGATACGGCCGAATATACGGCCGGATATGCTGAAGAAACATTTTCTTGTTTTCGCAAAGCTTTTGTTTGGCTCAAAACTAACACTCATGCAAGGAGATAATGTGTAACAAATGTCTTGGTTAAAATCATATGCAAGAGGAAGACAAATACCTTAAATTCACACCTAAAACCTCGCTTGTTAAAATAGATTTTTCATGGCCGGGAAACCTATACAACTCCTTTTTGTTTTGGAAGGAAAATGAGCAAATATTTGAAGTTCAAAACTTAACTTGTGTGACCAAACATCATGTTTAAAATGGTCATCACGTTCACCATGTGAAAATGTATAAGTTTAAGTAAAATTTAGCTCATATAACACCCTTAGAGTGGACCTAAGTAGTTCTAAGCAAAATAAGTCCAACACACCACAAAATCACCTTTCCAAATCTCACTTTTACTCACTCCAATTACAAGAAAATAAACGGACAGCATTTCCCCTTAATTTCTTCACTTTCCATCCTACAATCAAACACCAAATCTCATAACAATCAACCACAATTGCACATACACATCATAAGCTATCAAACACCCTTAAAATAAACCAATTGGTAACCTTAAAACTAACCCTAATCGTGCTCAAATTAGGAACCCTAAAACTGAAATTGAAGCACATAAGCAGGAAATTCCTTTAGGCAAATTAAACTAACACCAAAACACTAAATTTTTCACATAACAAAACTAGTAAATCATGGCCAACCATTAGTCATCACTTGAAGGCAGAAATTTATTATAAAAACTGAAAATTTCTCAATCACAATATTTCTAATAAAACTACATCTTTAACAACTCTAAACTACTAATTTACACATACATGATGGAAAAGAAAATTTCCAGACAAAATCACCTTATAACCTCAAGAAAGATGATAGCTTTGCCTTTCCTCCTCCAAAATAACTCCACCAAAGTCTTTAAACTTCCTTAGTGAACACTTGTATGGAGTAGTTTCCAATTTGGTTGGCTAGAACTCAAGATTCATGCAAGTTTGGGAGCTAGAAATTGAAGTGGTCTCTCTTGTTTCTCTCCTCAAAGTGGCCGGCCAAGACAAAGAAAAAATGGAAAGAAATTGGTCAAAATTTGGTTTTGATAAAGGTGAGAAAGACTTGGTCAAATCCAACATCCAACTGGGTCGCGACATTTGGCACCTTGATTGTTTTAAGTTTATCTTTCTTCTCCTAATGGTTAATCTATCTAGCTAACTTCTAATCATCTCCTAGCACCTTATAAAATAATATCCCTTTACACAAAAATCACTTAGTTATCAAAATTTTATCGCACTTATCGCACTAGTGGGTCCCACGTCTAGAATGCACTTCAAATTTAACGTATACTAAATTATACCAGAAAAATGATTTAAAACTATACTTACTTATAAAAATGTATAGAAAATTTAATATTTTAAAGGAGAGTATAAAATGTAGGCAAAGAGATAATATAATGCCTAAAAAAAATGTGAAAATTTTCGGGTTCTCACACTTAAGGCAATTTACCCTTTCTTTTAACAATCATACTTCATTCTGTTCGAAAGGAATATACTGCTCCTAGCATTGACACAAGCTTCATCTTCGGCATTGTCACAAATGCGCAGTGGCACATAGATGCAGTAATATTCACCAGTTTGTTCTTTAGAATCAGTCCAAGTATTATGTCCTAACTCGTAAGTAGTTGAAATTACTTATGAAATAAATTTTTTGCCAACTTTTTTTTTGAAGTTTTTTGATCTTATGTCATGAGCCCTTTTAAAATTTCTGAATTACATATATTCTTTTTTGAGTTCAAGAGAAACTCTAAAATCTAGACCTTATAATAGAGGGATACGATGTGTTAAAAGTTGTCCCTATTAGTTGAGTTGGATTTTGGAACTGATTTAGTTTTTGAATTCTAGCTGTTATTGTAATTATGGATAATTCAAGTATCTAAATTCCTGCATTAGAGCAAAGAACTATATAAGTTTAGTTAAGAACTATCTATGAACTATATAAGTTGGTTAATTAAGCATGTGCAAGCTCTACATCAACTAAAATCTTGGAATGTCCGTTGATTTCCTCGTATCCAAATGACGCCTAAAGTGAATTAGGGACTGTTTGGTAAAGGAGTTTTTTGCTAAGTTTTTTAACAATAACCTCAAAAAACTTCTCAAAAATTTTAAAATACACACTTTAAAATACCTAAAAACACAAAAAAAAAACACATCCGATCCTCAGCCCTTTTACCAGGTCTCACCTTAAAAATTTGACACCTGTAACAACTCAAAAAATTTCTCAAAAATTTTAAAATACACACTTTAAAATACCTAAAAACACAAAAAAAAAAAATTCCTATCCTTAGCCCTCTTAAGGAGCCCCTTACCGGCTCTCACCCTAAAAATTTGACACCTATAACAACTCACATGATTTCATTAACCCAACACATGATTTCATTAATCCAATCCTATCTTGAAACCTATTTGGCCATTCCCTCCTGTTGAATAGTATAAAACCCAGTCAATGCATCAATGATCCAACTGATGAGAAATCACATCAAACAAAAATGTATAAATTTTAAATTCATAATCAGAATTATTCTCAACCCTTTTAGCATTTGATTTTTTCCGTCACTTTTTACAACCTTTTTTTTTAAAATTTGTATATTTGTGATTGATTTGGAATTCCAAAAAACCACTCTCAAACAACTGTGATTTACTTGACTTGGAATTCTAAAAAATCCCTACTCGTATTATGAAAAAAAAAAATTGTTTGCAGATGTCAAATTTGTTATAAATGTTAAATTTTTAGGATGAGACCCGATAAGGAGACTTCTTGAGGAGATTGATGATCATATGCGAAAAACTACCTTCATTCCTTTCTTCTTTCTCCTCCACCTCAACCCACCACCATCTCTGGCATCGCCGCCACTTCCCCGGGTAATGGCGCCTATTCCTTTTTCTTTTTTTCTTTTCTTCTTTTCTTTTCCTTTCCCCTTTCCTTCTCCCCCTCCCCTTTTCTTAAGGATGGCAATGCAGGCCCCCGCCCCGCGAGGAGCTATTGGGGCAGGGACGGGGGGAATTTTTTCCCCCCATTTAAAAAAAATAAAGATATATATGTACGCGATAAAAATTTCAAGTCTGCAAAACGACAAGAAAAAGAAATACACGACAAATATGTAATATATAAATTTAGAAAAATATATGGGTGCAATCTCTGGAATCTTCTCAAACTTATAGAGAGATTCTTTCGATTCTTCTCCTCGAACGCCAATCCAAGGGCTTCGCAGCTTGTTCTTGGATCAACCACCGATTCTTTCAAATTTTGATATGGAAGATTTGAAGAACTTGAAAATATTTGAAGGCTTAAGTCTTGATATGCGGAAGACTTGAGGAGCTTGGAGACCCAGATCTTCGTAGCTTGAAGCTTCAATACTTGAGTGTATGAGATGCCTCTCGATGTCTTTGTGTGTGTCCTTGATTTGGTCGAGAGACCTCTATTTATAGTTGTAGCAAGAGGTAGAGGTTGAAAACCTGTGTACTACTTTACTTATCTTGCAAGACGTGCAGTCATATTAGGACTGTACCAGTTAAATATTATCTCTTCATTTTGTATTTACTAATAAAGAGATAATATCAATAACTAATTTCTTGATTGGCCAAGCTTGTAGGGACACGTGATGTGGCGCCATTTGATTGCACAACCTATTGTAGTATATAAGAAGTATATATGGATTAAACGACTCCAAATATTATCTCTTTAGTAAGAAATAAATATTTAAATATTTATCCAATAGACATGTGACATGATATGATTTGGTTGGTGGAGATATCCCTGCAATTCGAATCGATTTGGAATGCCTTCACTGACACGTGGAGAAATATAATTGGCCATTTAATAACCAAATTTTCCAAGTGTACATGACATATGGCAATATCCGATTGGATAGAAATAAGCCACCAAAAATAATTTATAGACCAATGATAATTTTAAGAATTAATTAAAATTTTATTGTCTACAAATGCCCCCTCGAAACTTGTTCGCGAATGCTGAAGATTGAAGCAAGATTTGAACGGGCAAGTTTCGACATTTTTTTTAATTTGAGCACCATCGGGATATTAATTTTCAAATAAGTCCCTAAATAGACTAAACTTGAAGATTTAGTGACTTGGTGATCTCAAATAATAGTCCAACGACTTAGTGGTCCCAAACTCCACGTGAAACACCACGAATACATCCTTAATGATCTCAACTTCCAAGATCACTAGCGCCTTCAGTTTCCCGAGGCCGAATCACTTCATTTGGAAGCTTTATGTCCACCGTTTGAATATCAATCCAAGTAAAGTTCATTCAATGTCGTGGCCTTACTCAAAGTTTTGCAATTCAAATATCAACTCATGAACTTTGTTCAAAGCTTTGCATTGCCGTGGCTTTTGAATTGGCCGTAAGATGGCCATGTGGGGCGCCACCAATCCATGCAAATCATAGTGCTATGAATCCTTAGGGTTAAGGCATAGCATGCCAAAGTTTCAAGTCCACCGCTATGCATGCACTATTAGGCAAATTTCGATGGCTTCCATTCCCAAGGTCAGCCATCCCATGCAATATCCTCAAGTCGGTGATTTGTATAAATCTCCTTTTACTTGTAGGAATTTGAGATTTACGCACACAAGAATTCCTTCCCTTGCAAGGTTCGGACAACCTCCCGAAGCTACCATTTGCATTCTTGGTGAGCTACACAACCTTGCTGCCGAATTAAATCAAAAAACTTGAAAGGAAGTCCAATACAAATTGTGTTAACATTTGTTGAGATCCGCTCCAATTTTTTCCTTAGCATTCGCGAGCTAATTTTGGTTTTTTTTTCCACTTGGCTTGAATGTCATAGGAGCAAGACCTTCAATTTCTAAAAGATCAATTCACTTCCTTTAGTCTCTTATCCACCGTCCCAGCCATGTTCTTATTATTCCCAAGCTGAACCAGAAGCCAAATAGAGTTTGAAATTCATTAGAAGTCTATGGGATATGCATAGTCCAATCTTGATTAACCACCCTGGAAAGTCCCAAAGCTAGATTCACTTTAGACTTATAACCAACTTCAAACTCACCTTAATGATTTTTGAATTGAAGAATTTAACTCTTCTTGAGTACCGAAGCTTTGTGGAGATAACTCTTGTGAAGTAAATCACTTAAGTAAGAAGCTGACTGCACAAAGCTTTCAATATCTGAATAGGAATCATATAGGTGATTCACATGGAACTCCTTCTCGTGGGTGATTAATCAAGCCTTTCTCTTGTGTGCACCTTGCATGCAAGTCACTTTTCGATTGGCCTAGAGAGTTTCCAACTCCAATTATAAGACAAGTGCCTTGTTCCTTGATCAATTATGAATTCCACCGCTTCACAAGATTCAAGGTCCGAACTAGTCAGCTTCTTGTCGAAATTCTAGGATTTGTATCCTTGATGAACCTAAACATTTGAGTTCCCCTTTTTTTGTGATAAAGCCGAAGCTTGAAGAGTAACCCAACACAATTCTTCAAGGAGTTAGTAAGCCTATAGAAGTTGGCTGCGAAAATAATTCTTTCCAAGGCCAACATGAATTGAGGCTTTATCCTTTATAATCCTATAGAAGAGCAAGCTCTCGACACCAGCTTAGAATTCTCTTTCTTTTAGATGATCAGCTTGTCAGCCGATTTAATTGCTAGG